TTCTCCTGGAGGCAGGCTGTGTATGTGGACTCGTACTGCTGGGCAACTGTGCACACACACACTCTACCTCTGTGGCTGCACAAGGTACACACACACACACACACACACACACACACACACACACACACACTCTACCGCTGTGGCTGCACAAGGTACACACATACACACACACACTCTACCTCTGTGGCTGAACAAAGGACCCACACACACACACACACACACACACACACACACACACACACACATACGCTCTCTCTCGCACACAAACACACACACTCTCACACAGAGACAAACACACACACACACACACACACACACTACCTCTGTGGCTGCACGACACACACACACACACACACACACACACACACACACACTCTACCTCTGTGGCTGCACAAGGTACACACACACACACACACACACACATACAGGGGCGCCACCAGGGATTTTGGGCCCCATGAAAAGATATCACATTGGGCCCCACCACGAGGCACAGGCCACGCCAACCAAGCACAATTGCTGTAACCACACCTCCAGAACCCAACCGACTAATTTATGCTTTAAATAACTCTACCTGTAGGCTTGCATCTATTTTGTAGTCCAATACTAACTGCACAATATTTACTGACACTGAGCTGTAAAATATAACACTGTGCAGACTGCAAATTCTACTGCAACATTCTGCTAGAGAACATGTATATTGAGATGTTTTTAGCCAAGAGGAACACAGGGCCATATTAGGCATGTCTCTACATTCCTAAATGGACCTTTATGTTGTAACACTCGCAGCACTAGAACAGCAACAACACACACATGTTGTGTAGAGACAGATCTGGATCCACTGTGCAGCTTCTGTCACTCAGGTTACTGAAAGAGTCCTCTTCTTTTTTTTCACACGCTATTTCAATCTGTCATTTCAAACAAGAACAAATGTCATTAAACCAAGAGGTTCAACTCAGGTCTAATGTTAAACTGGGCAGTGAAAGACAACGCCGGGTTGTTTCTAAAATCCAATAAAAAACTTTAAAAAACTGGTGACAACTAAAAAGACAACCTGGGAAAGAATTAAACATTTCAAAGTATTCTAATATTGCGGTGAACCGTCTATGTTTCTTGTAGTTATTTATTAGCTCTTTTTACTCTTAGTGTACAATTGTATTATTATGCTGCTGTGTTTATTGTATATTTGGAACTCTGGCACAACAATTTCCTTGGGGATAAATCAAGTCCTATCTTATTGAAGCCTTCGACCCAACATGTTTTTAAAGTGGTCTTCATATTCAAATGAAGTACTTGGCCATGAGCAGGTCGCATCACGTTGTGCTTGTTTCTGAACTCTTCCCTGAGGAAGTGAGATCACGTGTCAGCTAAAGAGAGGACAGAGACACTGTGCCTCATCTCACTTCCTGTCTCTCCTGTGCAGTTCTTCCCGTACATCCTGCTGCTGGTGGCGGTGCTCATGTACGTCCCGGCCCTCTTCTGGAGGTTCACTGCGGCCCCCCTCCTGCAGTCAGACCTCAGCTTCATCATGGAGGAGCTGGATCGCTGCTACAACCGCGCCGTCACTCTGGCCAAACGCCTGGCCACCGCAGGCCTGCTCGGCCCCGACAGGTAGAGAAACAGCTGGAGGCAGGTCAACCGGCTCAGATAGAGCATCGCAGAAGAACAGTAGAAGTGAAGAACAGAAGCAGAAAGAAAATCCTGTATTTTATACACAGCTGGCGTCAAGAGCTCTGCTTTATCTACTTTCTGTATATTTTCTACTTTCTTGTTTATTTCTAGTCTTTTAAATTGTATTGCACAAGGCCATGTCTTTTTATGCTGCTGCAACTCAAACATTTCACAAATTGGGATCAGTAAAGTACTATCTTATCTTATATGTTTCTCCAAAACACAGTTTATACTGTGAGATCATTTATTTACTTTTCCAACCCTCTGTTGCTGTTCACTTATCTGACGGCAGCTTCACTTTGAGCCAGATGAGTGGAAGGAGTGTACTACGACAACATCTGATTTATTATTAACGTCACACTCAAAATTTGGTTTAAAACCTTGAAATGTTTAAACCTCGCTGTTTTATTTAAGCGTTCAAATGACAACCCAAGAGTGACGGTTAAACTCAGAGGTTGGTTCATGTCTGAATGATTTCAGAGACAGGGACTGAGCACCAAATACGATCGTTGCCTCTTTTTGAAGATGCAATATGTTGCAATAGTTTGTACTTTTATATTTATCAAGTTAATCAACAAAAGCAAATCCTCATCCTCTGCTGTTCTCTCCCCCCCACGCAGCGACCCCACTGACGGATGTTTTAACTACCCTCTGGTGGAGAAGTTTCTGATGACTAAGCGCTTCTCGCGCTCCATGCTGTTTTACTACCTGCTGTGCCGGGGGCTGACTCTGGTCACCCTGCTGTGTGCCTGTGTGTACCTGGGCTACTACCTGCGCCTGGCCTCCGTCACCGACGACTTTGGCTGCGAGTTGCGGGTGGGGCTGCTGGCCTCGGACCCGGGGGTCCCGGAGAAGGTGCAGTGTAAGCTGATTGCTGTGGGGGTCTTCTCTCTGCTCAGGTACGTGTCTGTGCAGTGCAGCTAATGAAACTAACAATTATCATAATGATATATGAATCGGCCCATTGTGACTGATTTGATACCTTTAGGGTGCAGTTTTATTTCAATTGATTTTCCTCCAATAACCGCAGTCTGTTTCCTTCCCTCTGCTTCCAGCTTGGTGAACTTGGTCCTGTTCATTGCACTGGTTCCCGCAGTGATCTATGCCAGTCTCCGCCCCCTCTTCTGCAATGGACATGCCCGCTTCCTGGAAACCTACCAATCACTGCCCACCGTGAGCATCCTGCCCGCCCCCAGCAGCTGCTGGGACGACCTCTCTCTGTATCTGCTCTTCCTGGAGGAGAACATCAGCGAACTCAAGTCCTACAAATACATCAAGGTCTGCAAGTGTGTGTGTAGTGGCATCCAAGGTTTCCTTTTGCCACTATAGAGCAGGGTTGACGACACGCAATCCAAAGCAATAAGCAGCCGAAGGTTTTCAGTCAAAAAATTTAATTTATTAACAAAAAAGTATTGACTTAAATAGTCTCAAAATAGCTAATCTAAATCAATATTTCGGCGATATACTTTCCTATATAAACTATACTTTTCAGTTTGTTTAATTTCCATGTCCTCCAACAAGGCTACAATACATTGGTCACAGAGCTGTAAAACAGTTACAGCTCGTGACACCACATGATGATTTATTACGATCAGAAGTCTCAGTTTATATCTGACTTTGGAGTATACATCGATTCCCGGGGGCTACCTCTAATGCAGCCAGGTGTTCCTGGACTGTAGCTCTGCTAACTTGAACAAATTGAACCTCAGCACTTTGTGAGAGTCTATAAAAGGTAGTGAGCCATCTAGCAGAGAGGTCCCAGTGTGAGAAAAAGTTTTTAGAGAGTACTTGTCCATGGACAAGTGAGTTTGGCAATTTACTTGTCCGAATACATTTTTCACTTGTCCAGAATTGACACAAATTGGGCCACTGGAATCTTCTTCTTCGCCATCGTATTTTACATTTTCCCACGGTTTTTACGACACCGCTAACGTAAGTGAACGGTAAGATTTTACTGCATCACACATAGTGTTGGTATCGTTTGGATTTTAACGATTCCGGTTCTGCTTTTCGATTCCAGTTATTTTCGGTTCTCGATTCCGGTTCTTTGAGAGGGTAAAAATAAGTCCCATGACAAACTGGGAGAAAGTCAAATCTGTATTCCTATTTACAAATCACTTCATACTGTTTAATTTCTTACGGTTATTGAATACAATTATATAAAAATAATCTCTGCATTGTTTAGTTAGTTCTAAGTGGTTCAGTTTGAGAATGTACAATTGGCCCAGTCTCCTCTGATGTTACACTGCAACCTGCCTGTGAGACAGAGTCCAACCACACAGTCTGTGTGTCCAACACATGTCCTGCAACACACATGCTGCAACCTTCCTGTGAGACAGAGTCCAACCACACATGTCCAACACAAAGGCCTAATAATAATAATAATGCATTATATTTATAGCCTATTTAGGCCTAGCGCTTTTCCAAAACTCAAAGACGCTTGCACGCTTACAAATGTCCTGCAATACACATGCTGCAGCTGCCCAGCTGCTCACTGTTTTTAAAAGTAAATAAATAGTATTTTGATTTCAATAATGTACTTTCTATACCCTGCTTCATAAACAATACTGACATCCCTGTGCTCCTCCGAGTCTGGGAGTCCGGGGATGTGAGTACAGCGCGAGGACACAGACAGGGAGGCTGCTTCACTTCATAAAGGAAATGGCGGTCAATATTAACAACACAGGAGCTAAAACGCTTAATAACCTTCATTACATGTTAGAGAAAGAACATAAGAAAGTTTGACAAAGATGAGGCTGTTAAACGGGCAGCGGATCCGTTGTGTGTAGAAAGAGAGAGAGAGAGAGACGCTGAGCTGCACCGTGCAGCGATCAGCTGATCCGGAGCATAGAGAGAGAGAGCTGCGGTCCGCGGGGCTCGGCCTCGCCTCCTGTCCTCACAACTCTTATCAATCCCGGGACCGGACAATTGTTATTTGTTCCTTCTCGGAACCGAGTTTTGCTTCCCAACCCTGCCACTGTGCTACACTTCCCGCCCCGCCCCCGTCTAACTGTACAGAAAGCGGCGAGATGCATTTCCTTAGGAATCGACAAGCAGAACCGAAACTAACATTTCTAAACGAACAATTTGCGAATGAGTTCTGCCTTTTGTAAACTGAATTTATCAATAATTTGACAATAAATCAGGGCGAAAAACGTCACTTGTCCGTTGAAAGATCTACTTGTCCGATATTGTAAATAACACGTCCCAGACGGTGGGACGTGTACTTTTTCGCACACTGGGTCCTAATAGTTTGCTTTAAACTGCCAATGGTTGAAATAGTGACAGTGGGCTTGGACTGTGAGCCGTAGGGTCGCCGGTTCAAGTCCCCGACCAGACCTAGATATGGAGCGTGGACTGCTACTTGGAGAGGTCCCAGTTCACCTCGTGCCCTGCCGTGGTGCCCTTGAGCAAGGCACCGGACAACCCACCCAATCCCCCCACTCCCACTGCTCCCCGGGCACTGTACATTAGCTGCCCACTGCTTCTAGTGCTAGGATGGGTTAAAGCAGAGGTCACATGTCACTGTGCTGTGTGCATCTATGTGTGACCATCAAAGAGGTTTCATCCTCTGATTCTATTCTAAAAGGTCAAAATAGCAAAGTAATCGTAAACTTTTGTAACAGAAAGTAAGAAGATAAATAGTTGAAATGGCTAACATTAAATGATGTTCCACATACACTTGTTCAAATCAGAAATCAAAACTCACCTTTCATAAAGTGTCTTTGAGTTTCCAGAAAAGCACTTTCTGCTAACTACATAAGTTAGCAGAAAGTAAGGTCAGTTCAAAACGTTAAAGGTAATACATTTTATTTAAGGGATGAATGTTCAACATGCCTGGCACTGAGAAACAGTTGGAACAGATGAATAGTGAAACAGCCATCGGTAAAGTGTGTGTGTGTGTGTGTGTGTGTGTGTGTGTGTGTGTGTGTGTGTGTGTGTGTGTGTGTGTGTGTGTGTGTGTGTGTGTGTGTGTGTGTGTGTGTGTGTGTGTGTGTGTGTGTGTGTGTGTGTGTGTGTGTGTGTAGGTGCTGGAGCTGCTGAGGAGAGAGTGCTCCGGAGAGGACTTCGATGCCATGGGGCTGCTGCAGACTCTCTGCCTGGTGAAGATGGACACTGTGGATGGGAACAAGCAGGGGGGCGCTGCAGGCAAACAGGATGCAGTAAGGAACTCTGGCAGCAGCCCCTCAGCTGCCAACAGCTCCAGCTGTCCCAACTCCAACCCAGACCCCCACAGCAAGAGGGGGACCCAGATGAGAGGTGAGCACATTAAATCACATTTCATTCACTCTTTTGTTTCAGGGTCATTTTCCTTTTTTTGTTAATCTAAGTCAATTTGAAGGTTTTAAAATGAGGTAGAGGAAGTGCCACAGAGACAATAGAACAGAACCGGTGCCCTTCGCCTGCATGCCTGATGGCATCGTGTCATTCAATGATATTTCATCTAATAACACAAAATAAAGTTTGACTTTCAGTGTTTGACTTTAGGCTCTTTGTGCCGGCAGGGCTCAGAAAGGATTTGGACTTTTGGAGTAAAGCCAAACAATCACTTGTGATTTCTACATGAATAGCTCTGTCCGTTTCCAATCTTTATGCTAAACTAAGCTAAGCTAAGCAGACTCACTCTGTACAGACTGTGAAGCCCTCTGGGAAGATTACTTGCCAAATAATTCAACTTGAATGAACCGAAGACCAAAAGCCTAAATAATATTCAGTGACATGCAGCAATGTGTTTTCAGAGCTCACTCCTCTGCTGCCAGGAAACGACCTGACGGGGGGAGGCGGCCACCACGGGGGGGCTGTCCGCCAGCGAGCGCAGTGATGCTGCACTGAAATCATCAGCATCTCATCTTCTACCTTCTTCAAACAAATGTTTATGTTATCAAGGAAGAGTAGAGGCGTGTGATCCTCCTGTGGGGACAGCTTTCAGGAATCACTTAATTTGTCATTCAAACAATTTTGGAGTTTCAGGATAAAGCCCTACAGTACTAAGATCCCACTGTTCTGACCCCCTATGAATTGTGGGATATTATCTCGTCAGACTAATGAACTATTAACTACTATTAGCTATTGCTGCCAATTTGAAATGCCATGATGTCATATATATTATTTTCATGTTAATTCAGATATTAGGTGCGTGTTTTTTTATGATCCTCTTAAATATTGCCTGTTGCTTCAAATGTTAATCACATGTCTGATATATTTCCTGAGTACTTTAAATAAAGCAGGATAGTGAGTGTGCAGTAGAGCCGGCTGCCTTAACCTGCAGGATGTGTCTAACACCATGCGTCAACTTTACATTCAAACTCAGAGTATGAAATGGTCTAAATTGCAGTTGTACAGTTCCCTTCAAAAAGAAGAGGTGATATTTATTTGCACTGTCATTGTGGGATTATGTACTTTTGATGAGATTGATGATCACATTTCAAGACTCTGCCGCGGTACTACAGAGGAACGCAGTGAAGCAGCTTTATTTCAGAGGAGAGTTCTCAATGTTTTGTTTCTTTGAATAGTTTATTCAAATAAGTTGTTTTACATGTCACGCTACAGCTAACAGCAGTACAAACACAAGCTTTGTGACATTTATCCATTTTTCAACAAGAATGCTTCAAATTGTTCATTCCTAATAAATGTCAATAAGTATAAGGCAACAGCACATCAAAGGTAAGAGCTCAAAGGATATTCAGCTTTATGTTGATCCATGGGAATTCATTTATTCTTTTTAGATGTTTGGATGTCTCCACCTGGAATTGAACATGTACAGCTTGTTGGGGATCTCAGGGACACTCACATGACAGTTTACTCTTCTACTTTGAGCCTCTTCCACTGCTTGTATATATGAACTGCACTAAGTGGAAAGATTTTTACATATCATGAAATTGCTGGGGTTATATCTCTTTTTTGTGTTTTTTGTATCACTTTTCTGCATTTCTTTTTTACATGATTGGGTCCAATTTCTGTGCATTTGGCCATTTGAATGTAAAGTCTTGGAAAGATACTGATGCTTGTTGTTCTATGAGAAAACAGTGTTTCATTCCTGATGTGACTTTTTGCTGCTGGAAACTGCTATAGGTCATGTGAGATGCCATGAATGTTCATTATGACACGTGTAGGACTGTGCAGCCTAAGAAATAAATATGGTAGATTTACTGCTGAGTCGTGTGATTACTGTATGGGTTTGACTGAGTGGACTTTACGCAGCGTCTGGACCATGGTCTGGACAAAGAGGATAAGATGGTATTCAGTGAAGTGGAGGATAACCTCCCAAATGTTTAGTGAGTTTATGATTCTAACAGACACATTCAGAGCTTAATCAAGGAGGAGCTCTTCACAGGACAAAATATATCAAATAAAAATGCTGGCAGTGCGGTTTTGACCTGCATTCAAGACATAACAAAAAAGTCAGCCTTATTATGCTATAATATTATAATGTTAGATTGTTCATTTGAATGCATTGAAATGTGATTGTCACAGCTGGTCGTGGTGAAGTTAATTTGAATAGTTTTATACTTTAGAACTGCATTATTATAAGCCAATCATTGCGTAGTAAATCTAAAACTAGACACAAACAAATATAATGGAATAAAATGTAGCCTGCAATATTCCCTCTGAAATGTGGGGGAGAACAAATAGAAAGTACTGTAGCAGAAAATGCTATTCTAACAGAATGTTGTTAAAAGCTAGACTTATTACATTACAAAACACTCGTGAAGACATAACATTTATTTGAAAGTAAAAAAGCATTCCTAAGTATCTTTCTAACATTTACAAGATTCGATCAGCCGTTTGTGAATCCACTTTTGATTGTGGTTATATATATTATATACAGTAAGTGAGTGGTGTTCCACTTTAACCAAGAACCCGGACCCATTTCTTATTTTGGGAAAATTAAGGGGAACATCATTTAGACTAAATAGACCACCTAGAACACATTTCTGACCAGAACCCCCCCCCCTAGTGTCAAATATCTGAAAAGTGACATATATGTCACTTTGGGCTTTAATGGTAAAATAACTCATATATAACTTCATTAACTAGGATGATTTGTTGGTTTAAGTTATTTTGAACATTCTTTGAATTGAAGAATAAGAACATATCAACTCAATATAATTGAATCAGCTAAATTAACTGAGCAGATCATAATAATATTTTTAATTGTGCATATATGTCACTTTGGGTTTACTGTGAAAGTTTAGGGTTAAAGTCCCGATGTGACATCAGTGTCACAGCGATGTATGTCTCATTTGTTTCATTTCAATTTGATCAAGAAAGGTTTCCACAACAGGTTAAATGTAATAAAGCACATGTTATGTAAGCATTTTAATTCTTAAATGGCTTGAATTGTACCTTTAGCAACAACAAAAAAAGCTTTTGAAATGTAGCTCGTTATGTCACATGACGTTAGTATGGCACATGGACATCTTGGACATGTTTTTATGGGAACACAAAATCACATGTCCTGGACCATGACCCACCAGACTGTTCAGTGTGTGCCAGTGCTAGTGGAGCTAGTGGAGCCTCGCAGCGGCGACACCACACTAATTGCGCCGCATAAACGCAGGGTGCGCCGCATTGGGAGGGAGCCTCAGTTGAGGCCCCAAGCAAGTCTGCGTGATCTTCCTGTAGGGAGGGACGGCCCTGTGTATGTGCGACAGGGCCAGAGAACAGTAATAACTCCCATTCAGGGTCGCTTTCAGGCAGCAGAGTGTGTCTGTAGCAGGTTAACTGTTAGGAGCTCCATATTTGTAATTCAACTGGTTTTCAACTGGGTCAGGAATTGGAGAATATTCAAATCAGTTGCGTGTAGTGCCGTGAAAAGGGAGTCGGAGGCGGTGTATTCAGAATGGAGTTCCAATCTTTATTAGCCATTAATAACAGAGGTTAACACATGACTGCTCTGCTTGATGCGCTAGCAGGAATGGCAGCTGAAGCTACAGGTGTTCCCTCCTAAAGGGTC